ACCACTCCCTTCCTCTCCTCCCCTCCCCTCCCACGACTCCCGGCCCCTCGCCCCGCCCAACTGGCCAGCATGCTCCACCCTACGGCGGACGGGACGGGGCGGGGCCACTGCGGCTGACGTCAAGTGGGAGGGGCCTGGGTAAACGTAGGTTTCGTCGGGCTTCCTCGCCTTTCATTGTCACGTGACGGGTGGTTCGCTGTCGGGCTGGCTTAGCGCGCCCGGTTCCTCGGAGGGAAAGGAGGGTTTGTTCAGGAGTCGCTCTGCCTGGCTGGGTGACTGGGTGGCCGAGGAAAATGGGGCTTGTTCCCCCTGGGCCTGCTTCCTTAGGCCTCGCAGGAGGTGTGCTCTCAATCCAGAGATGAGGCGTGGTTTGAAAAGTTGTTGACTTTCTCTCTCTGAAGAGGACCAATAGAAAAAATATCTTAGGGTACAACACCCACTACTTCCTAAAGTCCCAGATAGTTCGTGAACGACGTACTCCGAGCCTCGGGGGCAGGTCTCTCAAGTCTCCTCTTCCACTCTGCCGTTCCGTGAGAGGGAAAGGCCCGCGATGCTTTAACTGCCTTCTGCTCACTGTAGTGTAAGCCTTGTGGACCTCCAGAATGAAATACTGTTTAGGATTCCAAAATTTAAGTGCTGAACCACCACAGTGCACTCTGTACATAACCAGAGCGGGGGGGGGGGGGGGGGAATACTCTGGACGCACCATAATTATCCCATCATAACAAAACAAAATTAAGCTTGAGAGGCAGGGGCATAAAGCAAGTTTCAAATTGAAATCACAGTACAGTATGGTCTCCAACCACAATATAATTAAACTATAAGTCAACAAAATAGCCAGAAAATTCCACAAATATTTGAAAACTAAGCAACTTAGTTCTAAACGTGTAAGTCAAAGATGAGGTCAATAGAAATTTTAAAACAGTTTGAACTAGAAGATAATGACAATACCACAATACAAATTTGTGGGATGCAGGTAAAGTGGTGCTAAGAGGGAAAATATGTAGCTTTAAATGCATATATTTGAAAAAGGGTTTAAAATCAGTAATCTTACTACATCAGGAAGCTAAAAAAAAAAAAGCAAATTGGAGTGTGGTGGAGTGGAAGGGTATATGGTTCAATTTTTGCTGTGAACCTAAAACTGCTCTGGAAAATAAAGTCTATTTTTTTAAAAAGACTTCTCATATTTGGTCAAGTGATCTTTGACAAAAGTGTCAGGACCACTCAATGGGGAAAGGACAGTCTCTTCAAAAATGATGTTGGGGGCTGGCTAGTTAGCCCAGTAGGTTAGAGTATGATGCTGATAACACCCAGGTCCAGGGTTCCATCCCTCTACCAGCCAGCCACCAAAAAAAAAAATGTTGAGGAAACACTGTATCCACATGCAAAAGCATAAATTTGGACTGTTATCTTACACTGTACACAAAAATTAACTCAAAATGGATTAAAAACCTAAACATAAGACCTGAAACTCTAACACTCCTAGAAGAAAACATAGGGGATAAGCTTCTTGACATCGGACTTGGTGATGATTTTTTTTTTTTTTTCCCTTTTTGTCTTTTTTACTGACCGGTAACGGGATCGCAACCCTTGGTGTCGCGCCTGTACCGGGGACTGGCAACGGGATTGCAACTCTCGGTGTTGCGCCTGCACCACCTTCAGCCAGTGAGCAGGAACCTGTCTCTATGTGGGATCCGAACCCTCAAGCGGCGCACTCTCCAGTGCACCGCCGGGCCGGCCCTAGTGGTGGTGATTTTTTTGGATATGACACTGTATTAATCCATTTCTGTTGCTTGTAACAGAAATACCCAAAACCAGGTAATTTATAAAGAAATGAAACATATTCCTTACAGTTTTGGAGGCTGGGAAGTCCAAAGTCCAGGGAACACATCTGGGGAGGGCCTTGTTGGTGGGTAGTGACTCTTCACAGCAAGGCAGGGTGTCAGATGGCAAATATGGCAGGAGCAAGACAGAAACTAACCTTATCACTCCTTGTACGTATGAAACTATCAGAACCATGCCCATAACCACCATTAAACAATCAATACATTAATCCATTCATTAGGGCATGGTCCTCACAATCTAATCACCTCATCAAGGTCCCACCTTTCAATTACCATAGTAGGTTTTCCACCTTCTTAACACTGTCACAGTCAGTGTTAAATTTCTAGTACATGGAACTTTGAGGGACACAATTCAATCCATAGCATTCTGCCCCTGGCTCCCAAACTTCATGTCCTTATCACAGGTAGATACATTCATTCCATCCCCAAAATCTTAACTTGTTTCAGCTCAAATGTCCAAAGTGAAAAGTCCCATCTGTGAAATCAAGACAAGTTATCTATTTCCAGTATACAATGGTAGGACAAACATAAGGTACATATATCACCATTTAAAAAAGGAAGAAATAGGCCAAAAGAAAGGGGTAACAGGTCCTAAACAAGTCTGAAACCCAACAGAGCAGTCATCAAATCATAAACCTGGTGAATCATGTACCTTGACTCCATGTCCAGCATTCTCCACATGCTGGAGTGAGCAGGACTGAAGCCATGTTGGGACCTAAACCAAATGGGCTCTAAAAAGTTTTTAAAGGATACAGTTTTTTTCTTGGTATGCATTTCTGTGAGTTCCCTCTTTTTCCATGGTTATTTGATATTTTAAACCTTGGTAATGGGGCAAAATGACATTATTTACATGAACGTAAAGTTGTTTTCCAGCCAGCCTGAAGCTGCAGACTTGCAGAGCCTGGGAAACCGTGGAAGACATCAATAAAACTATGCTGATACCACCCCTCCAGTAGGATCATGAGATAACAGCAAGGACAAGAGCAGAAACCAGACAGAGTCTTGGCGAGCCTTTGCACCTGAGACCTTGAATGAAGCCTTGCTGCTCACATCCGCCTCCCTCCTGCTTTTCATTTCCCACATTCTATTCCCTCAGCCCCCTCTTTAAAACCCCTCGGTAAATCTGAGTCTTTGAGATGGCTTTCGCCTGGCCATTCTCCTTCTCTTTTACTGGAGATATGGGTCAGCCCAACATCTCTATCAGATCACTGATATTCCTGAATAAAAGCTGACTTCCATTTCACCAACATTTGACTTTTGAGTGGTTTATTTTTTAAGGAGGGTAGGCCGCTGGACCTGTGTGCCTTGTAGCACACACACTGGTGTGGGGGTTGGACTCCCCAAGTCCTCAGGTAGCCCTTCTCCTATGGCTTTCCTGATCTCTGGCCATACTTTAACTCTCCCAGGCTGACATTGCATGCTGCTAGGTCTACAGCTCTGGGGTATTCATGGTGGTCTCATCCTCATGGATCCACTAACATGGCATTGGTGGAGATTCTCTACTGCAACTCCAACCCCATGTTTCCACTCGTCATCATAGTGAAGCCTCTATGTGGTGACTCCACTCTTGTGACAGATCTCTTCTTGGGCCACCAGGCTCTTCCATACATCCTTTGAAATCTGGGTGGCACAGCTTTGGCATTCTGGGGGATGTGGACACCATGAAGGTTTCTGGCTTGTATCTTCTGAAGATGTGGGTCCAGCCATGCTGGGGCCGATTTAGCCATGGCTGGAGCAAACAGAACAGCTGAGTATGGGGACCAGAATCCCAAGGTGGCCCTGGGCAGCGAGCCCATGGAGGACACCTCAAGGCCCATTCCCCAAAACCATTCTGTCTCCCTAGGCCTCTAGGCCTGTGATGGGAGGGGCAGCTTCAAAGGTCTCTGTCTATTCTCCTGATAATCCCTTTCTTCTGCACTAATCTCCTTAGCAAACAGCAGCTGGGCTCAACTATTCACTCTTTTATGTGGCCAGGCTGAAAGTTTTTCAATTTTTTACCCTCTGCTTTTTTTTGAATTACAAATTCTGGCTTTACATCATACCTTTTCTGCCATAACTCAGCATAGGCTGCTGCAAGTAGCCATGCAGCTTCCTGAAAGCTTTGCTGCTTAAAAATTGCTTCTGCCAAATACCCTGGTGAGCACCTTTAAGTTCCACATTCCACAAAGCAAAGAACAGAATGCAGCCAAGTTCCTTACCAGCTCATATCAAGGGTGATCTTTGCCCCGGTTTTCAATAAACTCCTTTCCATTTTATCATCATTCTGGTCATCACCATCTAAGGTGTTCCAAACTTTCCCTGGTCTTCTTGTCTTTTAAACTCACACCAGAATCTAGGCTTTTTCTAGCCTGCTCCTCCAAATTCTTCCAGCCTCTGCTCAATACCCAGTTCCAAAGCTGCTTCCACATCTTC